TGAAGAATAAATAATGAAAAAATCTTCAGTTTTCACACTGGGGTCTTCTGCATGTTTCATAAACCATACACAATGGTAGAGAGGACATTATAGGGGGATCCTGAAATATGAAATGAACTAAGAAAAAGAATTACAAAATCCTCTTCATTGCTCGTTAGTATGTAATTAAGAGCACTTGTACATCCCTCCAAATGTTTTTACACAATTCACATAAAACACAGAGGGCCTTAAAATTACATACTGATAGCATTTACTTAAATGAAGATGGCTAACATAATTTGTGCAGTTAATCAGAGAACAATGATTAATTCTATGCTCTAAATTCTTGTGTCAGCACCACGAGGCACCTTCCACAAGGGGGAATCACAATCCGCAGATGCCCTCCTCCACCACTTCCTCCCACCTTTATCCTCGGATGTAATATCAGAAGTCCTACTCTCTTTACCTCTCACATAACAGTGCCAAAAATGCTTTGCACAGGTGAGTAGGGGCATGAGCTGAGGATGGGGGAATTGAAGAGTGTGGTGTTAATGGGGGGGGGGGGGGGGGTGGGTGGTCTAATATGACCAAACAAAGGTCTTAAGGAAGGCACCTCATCACACATGTATGGGATGGATAGTCCCCACATAGATGTTATAATATAAAGACCTGAAGCTGTTACTCTAACCTAACTTGCTATGGAATGCATAATCTTTCTACCTTATCTAATTCCAGAAAATACTGGGTGCATTTTGACGAGAAGCAAGGCTTGAGGACTAATCGGGTGGGGAGGTAGGGGAGGAGGTGTTGGAGTACTACTGGAGTTTAACCAGCTACAACCACATAGCTTACCACTGAAAACACTGCCTGACAAGTTTCTTATCTCGTCATCAATAGTGCTTTGAATTACTGAGTATTCTTGGATCTCAGTGACTGCATTTCAAATGTAAATATCACCAACATCATCAGATTGATATCATGGGCAGACAAGACATTCCCCAGAACTGCAGGATTCAATTAGCAACCCAGCCACAAGCTCATGAGCCAGGACCTCAAACATGCATTGCTGCACATTAAGGATTAGGTGACTCAAAACAATCTCAAGATTTAATGGCAACGTGACTAGCCACTACCTGAAGACTCAAAGTCTGTAAATGCCTGTAAAGCATTATACTTCTATTAGTGATATTTGAAGTGAATGGAATCCTCACAGTAATTGCACTAGTTCCTAGTTGATGTTGTGTCCAACAATATAAGACTGTAACAATGCCAAGGCTGGCTAAAATATATATTGACGAGTCTGCCTAAACACTATAGGCCAACTGAACATTACTTGGAAATCTGCTGGATTCTTTAAAAATTACATTGGGACTATAAACACCGTTCCACATCGTTTTTGCTAATTTCTTTCTTCCTACCCTCTCCCACCCTGACCCCCAGCTCAGGTCCGTAACTCTGTCTGTCCAGCGCCTTGGGACATCCTCCAGACGTGAAAGGTGCTATACAAATATAATTTTGTTGTTTTTGTTGTCCTGAGGAAGCCAACTCTTTGCTGGAATACAATTCAACAGGCACCAAGTGCCCTAAAGTACAGTCATTCAAGTGGCCATTCTTCATCTGAGCCTAGTCAGTGTTGACAAGTTATTTGACCACTTGGAGCATCATCACATTGAGCATGATCCAGTTCTCACCAGATGTCCACACACAGGCAATTTCAAGAAGTCATGGGGTAGCGTTCAGAAGCAGGGTTATCGAGGCCAATTCTCTGCTGGAACCATCGCCCTTATCTTTAATAAACTAACTAAGCTCTTGTCTGTATGGCTTGTACTGATTGACTGTTACCATCTTCGACTAGCTAGGTTATTCTGGGAACATTCTCCTTTGAGAATCAAATATTCATTGTACCTATCATTGATACTTTCACCCTCATGAAAATATCCTGGTGATAACTTTAATCTACTCTCTCAATCACCCTGATGATACAATATGTGAAATGGGATTGCATCTACTATAGTTTGCGAGTGCAATGAAGAGTTTTTTTTAGCAAATTGTTGATTTTAAGAGTTTTGGGCTTTACCTAGCCTAAGCAATTAACAACAACTTGCATTTATATAGTGCCCTTCAAGCGGGGTAGCCCGGAGTGCTTGATAAGCACGATCGAAAAGCAAGGTCTTTAGGTGGGATTTGAAGGTGGGGAGAGAGGGGGCAAGGTAGACGGACAGAGTTCGAGTTTCGGGGCATAGAGGCTGAAGACATGAGCACCGATGGTGGAGTGGAACGGGCAAGGGACAAACAGGAGGCCTGAGCCAGCTGAGCAGATGCACCGGACGGTGGAGTGGGGAGTAAACAAATTGAATAGGTGGGGCAGTGCGAGGGCATGAAGGTATTTGAAAATGAGGGAGAGGGTCTTGAAATCAATTAATTCGGTAATTGGAAGCCAGTGAAGCCAAGCAGGACTGTGTGATGGGGGCACGGTGGTTTGTGCAGGTGAGGATCTGGGAGGCAGAGTTTTGAATTAGTTTAATTTTGTGTATGGTCGAGCAGGGGAGATCAGTGAGGAGGGCATTGGAATAGAAGCCGGGAAGTGACAAAGATGTGGACGAGAGTTTTCGCTGCTTTGGTTGTGAGGTAAAGACAGAGGCGGCACTTGAGTCGTCCTAACGTGAAAGACATTATACGAAATGTATGCATGGATTATTGCTTACTATTATTGTAGCAATAAAGGAACCCTTCTCTCTTGATTGAAATTTATTGGCTCAATTTGGATAGTTCCTTCTCTCAAGTTGTCATGAAATGTTTGTATTTTATTTGTTCCCATTTGTCAGGAACAGATAAACACCTGGAGGACAACTACATGATCAATCAGAAATCAACAATGTTGCTCAAAATGTATGGAACTGTTTATTTTAAATTCCTTATAATTTATTAAAATCTTCATACAAGTTGAACGCATGTTAAAATAATAAAACAAAAACAAGAAGTTGCAGTTATATAGTGCCTTTCACATCGTGAGGATGCCCCAAGGTCTGCACAGTCGAGGGATGAATTCAAAAGGGGTCAGAGCTAAGTGGGGAAAAAGGTGTGGTCAAAGAGGAAGATTTTGAGACAGTGCTTGAAGGAGGCAAAGGAAGGGTCAGTCGAAGGGACTCTAGGATGGAGTTCCAGAGAGTGAGGGCAGACAGGCTGAAAGCCTGATGACCAGTGATGGAGTATCAGGGCAGTGTAGGAGACGTGAAGCAGGCCAGTGCCTGCCAACTGAAGGAAGTAGGTGGATTGGGAGGGTTTAAAAAGGTCATAGAAGTAGGGTGGGGCAAGACTGTGGAGAGATTTAAAAGTGAGGAACTCGGAACTCAATCCTCTGAGGGATGGAGAGCCAGTGGAGCTGAAGAGGATGGGAGGGGGAGACTGGAGCAGGAGGGGACGTGAGCTGCAGTGTTCTGGATGGTGGAGGGAAGAATTGGGAAATCTGTCAGAGCAAAGAGTTGGCGTAGTGTAGCTTGGAAGTGATGAAAGCAACAATAATGATAATCCTTGCAATATGATATAGCGTCTTTCATGTTGGGAGGACATCTCAAAGTGCTTCACTTGAGTTTACTATGAAGTATAGTGGCTTTGCATTTTCAGCCCATTTGGGCTGGGCTGACGTACGTTCCACAAATTAAAACAATGGCCAATTTTATTTTGGGAGATTATTGGCCAGGATACCAAGAGAAACTCCCTTCTCTTTTCAAGTAGTACATGGGATGTTTAATGTCTACCTGAGCAAGCAGACAGGACCTTGGTTTAATATCTCAACGAAGGAAGGCATCTCCAACAATGCACTACACCATACAAATGTAGATTTAACATATCTAAATACACATAACACACTTTTTAAAAAAAAAAACTTTTTAAGGTGTTGATCAAAAGACAAGAATGGCCTCAAAACTGACAGATAAGTGATGCGGTTCTTCTTGTATATATTAGTCACTTTTTAATTTTGCTCCAAAACTATGCGCTCGTTTAACAGAAAAGGTGCACACAAATTGCAATAAACTGTGCCAGTTGGCTTTACAAGTGTTGAATCAAAATGCAACTAATGTTTCTTACTGTTTGAAACTAGACACTGCAAAATGTGGTTGCATGAATGGAACACGCATACACCGGATAATGCAACAAAGTTGGTGTCATTTCATTCTGTCAATTGATACTGATGTGAACTGCAATAAATCACAGCGGCATGTAGTGGAACATGAACGTGTGATAAATACTCTTATATTGTGGGAAACAAGATACTCATTGAACCAAGATAACGGGCGGTCAATTTTTAGTAATATAAATAAACAGAATATCTACCAGCGAGACTATATAAGACATTTATATACTTGGGCAATTTAACTCATAATGCTGTTGTCCTGGACACTATGTCAGTTAGCAACGATCTATACAATATAAATAAGATTTTATTTCAATAACAAAAGACCGCCAAAAGCAAATTTAGCACTTTTATCAATACCATTCTATCAATTGATATCAAATAGAGTCAGTGCAAACATGTATAGCAGAGGCTGTGTATAAAAGTCATGGTATGTGGTTTAAATAGTACTCATAAGCCTTAGCATACTTAGCAGTGGTGCATTTTAGTTTCTAGCAATTATATTTAATATAGGTGACTTCCTCCAGTTATCTACATTGCATTGCTGAGTGAAAAAACATCCAAATTACTGTATCGCTTGTGGATAGAAAGTCAATTTAAGAGCCCAAATGTCTGATCAATATTTAGTATTTCTACAATGTACAGATGCTCCTCAGCCATTATGGTTAGTCTAAATGTTACAAGGTGAAGTCCAACCCTAACTGAATTATACTTCTTGTTTTACTTCACTTACAGTACAGCACTGCGCAAAAATGGAACATGCAGCACATGCAAGTATTGGCTGTAAAGCCAAAGAACCTTACCGATAAACTCAAAAGCCAAGCATAAGATTATAGAAAGATAGACATTAAACAGCAATAGAACACGGAATAGCAAAGGCACTTACAGTTGTTCTAGAGAGACAAGTCCCTTAAATGCTTGCCTGTCAATTGATTGGATTTCATTCTTGTACAAATAGCTGAAACAAGAAATAATCAGTAGTATTAGTGAACGGGCACCTATTGCACTGAAGAGGCATCTTGGCTCTCTAAGCAAATGTTGTCTTTTGGATGGTACTCACAAGTTATATTTTATTTGCCATCAAAACAGGTATTAGAATGTATACACCAGACACACAAATTATGCATGGGTAGTGGACTTACAATCTGATAAATCTGAGGTTTTGTTTGGACCGCATAGTAGAATGGCTTTAGGTGAATACTTGCATGCACCAGGCATTTATAGCAGCTCTACTTATCAACAAAGGATGAAAAATAAACGAACACTAGACTAGCAACTTACACTGTAGATCAACATTTCTTACCCTCTACCCTGACATTTCTGCAACTCAACTGCAAAGGGAGAGAGACTAAAGAAAAGTCATGGCGACACTTCTGATAAGACCAGAAACCAGGTTTGCATCAGTTTTCTGCAACTTTCATATCAAACTGCAATTACTGGAGCACGATTCAGGTTAAGAGATGCAATAAGAGAAGACACTGCCCTCAGGAAATGGTGGTGTGTGGCTTCAGATTCAGTTCAATCACATCGGGGGCAAAAGGAACTTCTAAAACTTATATTTCAATAACATTAAAGTTAGCCAGTTTTTGCAATGTTAGTTTGTGAAACTCTGCCTGAGGTACAAGTGATCTATTGAAGCACAACTGCCTGTGTTGGTTCAAACTACAGAAACAAAGGAGTTAGAACATTAGGATGGTAAGTACAGATAACTCATGGCAAAATAAAACAGAAGAAAGCAACAAATAAAAAAATGAATAGGTTAATTCTTCCACTACCTTGAGCTGGAATGTGTCATAAGTAATATGTTCTACAATTAGTGTTTGAATTCTCTTCTAAATAACAAATGAATATAAATGGATAGTGAGTAATAGACATAATCAATGTTAACAATGGAAGAAAATCGTTCAAGAATCTTGTATATTTTGTCTAAGTTCTATTTCTAATGATCTTCAGGGTCACCCAGATGAACCTCAATGAGTCGTGTGGTACATTTCTATGTTCTCATTAATAATAATCCTTGTATTTAATATAGCACCTTGTCGTGTCTTTGAGAAGTCTCAAAGCACTTCATAGAATGCACTGTAAAATGAATTGACTGTATATTTTGTGGGTGAAACTCAGCAGCCAATTGTGCACAGCAGTGTCCCACAAACAGTTGTGGGTTGAAGTGACCAATTTATTATTTTTTTAAGTAATTATTACCTCCGAAAAAGCGATTCGCAATCGACTAACAACCAGGTTCCTACATACTGCTAGGTAAATAGGGGCGTGTGGAGTAAGAAAACTTGCTCAACATTTCACCCTGCCGGGAATCGAACCCAGGTCTCTCACTTGTGAGGCAAGTGCTTTAACCACTGAGCTACACGACTCCATTACAGTATGTTCTCTGAAATAGAAGTCAGACGTAATAGAGAAGTACTTAGAAAATGATAGACAGTAATGTAGCATCATACTCTCCATGCTAGAAATATACATGCATTTCTTTTACCAAGATTGAGGATGCAAAAGCTGACAACTGTACTTCAGTGATAGTTCAATAGAGGAAACTTCCAATTCAGGAATGCATAAATAATATTTAAGGATGACAAATGGCAAATGCAAATTGGAGTAAAGCACATGATGGTTGATCTGAAAAAAAAAAATGTATATAGCAATGACATGAGAAGAATCGCTCCTCCATCTAATTTCTTAGTGAGTAGTTCCACGAACATAAAACAGTTCCCAGCTATCTTTTCATTTCCCACTTGGAGAATGTTCATGTGTGGATTTCAGATGAGGCCAGAATCTGACTAAGCTGGTTACCCAATAAACAGCATGTAAATTCTCATTGTCTAGAATCATATTGGAAGGTTGCCAGAATATGAAATTGTAAAGAACAACCCAGTTATACTGCAGTTGGCTGGGTTCAATGTCTCAGTAGCCGAGTTACAAGTGAGGCTCAAAACAAAAAAAGGCCAACATTTGGGTCACATCTCCACTGACATCACTTCCTCTATTCTGGCCTATGTGCATAAATTTTGTGAGCATAACACAGGAAGCGACATCAAGAGCAACACGACAAGCAAGAAGCTGACTTATTCTTAAAAGAGCAAGAAGCCTGCTAGTCAGGCTGGAATCCCGGTGTACCGCTCTTCCGATTAACAGAAGACCGAGACAGATACGTAGGTTGCCTTTCCTAAGGTGAGCCTCCACGACAGAATAGCATTCGTGAAACTCTGAGCCAAAGGGTGAAAGTAGCATTATGTACCAGAGGTTGAATGCTAGTTATTTTATAAAACCAAATTGTATTACAACAGCAAGCAAGCTTTAAATCAACTGCCTCAATAACTCTACATGGTACATCATCTGGATTGTTTACTTCTGGATTGCGGTGTTGAATTCCTCTCATTTGAAGAAATTATTGAGTTTCTCTGAGGCCTCGAATAGGACCTTGAAGTGCCATAAAACATAGAGAGCAGAACTCTTGCCATTATGATGCAATTAAAACAAAGGGACTGTTCACGTTTCTGCAGCCAAACTGGACAAAGAGTGAGTAACTGAGTTGCTTTGGGATCAATAAGTTGCAGAAATGTGGAGACTGCTCTTGAAAATGTAAAGGGTGCCCTCTTCAAAATCCACGCACTTAATATGCATCTGTTCAAAATTGATTCCTTCCAGCCACGTTATAGGCAGAAGATGTGGAGCCTTTGGGAAATCCACTGTTGTCCCTGTGGCAGTATCTCTACAGATTTAAATTGCCACCTGTAATAATTTTGGTTTGAATTCTACACTCCTGTGTATGGGGGAGAAGGGGGGAAGCGGAGAAAATGAGGAAGAAGCAGAAGAAGAGGTGAGAGGTAAGTAGTGTTTCCTCGGAGCTGAGATGGCTTTAAGGTGATGTGTTGGGCAAGGGGATGTCGGAATTAAGTCAATATTTCAATGGCAATTTTGGTTCCTGAGCCAGACAGGTCTGCAGTATTCCCGGGCACTGTTGATGACAGACCAGCTAGTTTAGCTCATTAGCAGAACGTGAAGAGGAAGACTGTTCACTTGGGGTAGGGATTCTTTTCACTCAGCTCCTGCCAACTGAAGACCTAAAGGGTAGGGTGGACCTAGTTGGACAAGTAGCAGGAAAGTGTTCTGAATGGCAAGCTCTGCGGTTTTACCTGGTCACACTCCAGCAGTATACCCCAATGCACACTCTGTGATCCCCAAGCCTCCCTCTCACCAACCTGCACCGAATACTCCCCAGAACTAGGTAAGCAGGGTAGTCCCTCCAGGGAGAATCTACACATTCCAGACACAGCAAAATGTCTAGGTTTGCTAGACTCGCATCAGTTGTTCCCTGAAATACTGTGCACTTGCCTGGCTCATGAACTAGAATACAGAGACTGACACAGAGAAATTCTATTGACAAACATGTCACCTTGAAGCCATGTCATTTCAACTATTATTAAGAAAACCCCACTTACCTCCACTCAAGGAGGACAGTAATTTAAAATAAAACAAACTGAACTCTCAGTATTGTTTTTTGAACACTATTTTCTACCTTTGGTGTCAAAAGTAGCATTTTCTACATTGAGTAACCATAAGACTATGATCTCCACATAGGGAATTACAGCTGTCCTATGAGTCTTCAGGACTTGTAATAACTAAAAGCTGCGATACACTTTCATCTTCTGAATCATAATGACTAGAAAAACATAAAATACAGTCAGTGGAATTGAACACAGCAAGGCAGGAATTAGAATAAGAGAAACATAGGTGGATGCCACTTAAACCCATCAAGCCTAAACTGATGCTAGTTCATCCATTGAAGCAAACAACTATAGTCCCAAATCTCTAGTATTCCACCCCCATACCCTTTTATTTTCCTCACTTCTAATCATCCAATTCCCTTTCCAATGTTATGGGCTCAGGCACCGTTGCAATTTGTGGAAAAGCATTCCATATTCTGATAGTAAGCTGCATGATAAAGTTTCTTCCAACGTCCCCCTTATAATGCTTCCAGTGAGGTTTCAAACTGTGCCTTTGGTACTGATTTTCAAGAGTTGGAATAATCACTCTATCCTCTTAAAACCTTTGATGACTTTGAGAACCTTCATTGGATCTCCTCTTAACATTCTCGGTTCATATGGAAAATTCTTAACAATAATCTTTGCATTTGATATAGCGCCTTATCACATCACCGAGCTGTCTCAAAGCACTTCATAGGATATACTGTAAAGTGGATTGACTGTGCATTTGTGGGCATAACGCAACAGCCAGCTTTGTGTACAGCAGTGATACATTAAACAGCCACAGAGTGCGTGACCAATTTTATATAGGGGATTTACTGGCCAATGCAGATGTAGTGAAGGATATTAATTTCAACTAAAGAAAACAGGAATCAGATGAAAACAATGTGACAAGTTGAAAATAATCATTTTCATGATAACTCTTTTTCACTTCAAAGGATTAGGATTGATAATTAGGATTGTTAGGACAAAATTGGAGTTTGGCAAGGAAAGGGTGATGGGTATACAAGGATTTTGTGCAAGTAAGAAAGTGGACAGCAGGGTTTTGTATGAGCTTGTGGATAGTGGAGCTGGGGAGGCCAGCAAGAAGGCATTTGAGAAGTTGAGACTGAAGGTGATAAAGGCTTGAATGAGATTTACTCCAGCACTGGAGAGGGAAAAGGGATGGAGGGGGACAATATGGTGAAGATGCAGAAAATCAGTTTTTGTCAGAAACTAGGATGAGGAGAGATGAGGGGGTCAAGCTGAACACATACACTAGTTCAGTGAGATGGAGAGAAGTGCCAGGATGTCAGGTATAGAAGATAGGAAACATTGCCAGAAGGGTTCCAGAGGCTAGGATGTAGGGACTGAATGTTTGGACTATGGAGAGGACAGGAAGAAGCACAGAAAATCCGAGTTAGCTGAGCTGAGGACCAGGGTAGAAAATTACAGGAATCAGAAAGTTTTAAGTGAGTGGATTGTAGGCCTGGGGAAGAACCTTGACATTGATATGTTGGGTGACAGGGAGCCAGTGGAAACTGGCAAGGACTGGGGTATGCCAAGTTTGGTGCTGTTTTCTTCATCTGTAGCATATTGAGGGAAAGCAAAGCACAATTCTATGCTTCTATGTTTTAACAATATTATCCATTTACCTGGTCTATCAATTTACAAAAGTGGAACCAGATTTATTCATAAGTAACAGATTGCATAGCTTTTTCTCTTCTTGATTAAATCTTGAACAAGAATAGAAAAATCTACAGAAGTCAAGTGACTTAACCTCTGAGATACTTTAATTCTAAATAGATGGCAGAGTTTTGGTTGAGATGCAGCTTATGAATGGCCGAGCAAGGGAGATCTGCACTTTGGAAAAGTCTAAGCAGGATGCAAAGAAGGCACGATTAAGTGTTTCAGCGGCATTGAGTGCGAGATAGGGGTAGTAGCGGGTAGTGGACGTAAACAAAACCAGTTTTGGTGAGACCAGATACAAAGGAGAAAGCTGAATGCTAAAGTTGTGCACCAATTTGGAGAGTACATTTATATTTTACACATGAACTGGATTTCCCATCTGCTACATTCTGTTTGAAATAGGAAATCTATATAATGACAGGAAGTGCCCAACGGTAATAGGAAGTTTTAGGAAACAGGCATCCTACACAAGAATAAAATGTATATTTGTCTGAAGCCAATGGTGAAGATATTATGCAATACTGCATCACAGATATATCCAGCTGCACCCACAATAGCTATGTCAGCAATGTAAGATGTTTTCTCAATCTGCACCATATTGAAGGAAAGCAAAGTAAAATTTTGTGCTTCTATTTGTTTACCACCACCTCATCCCTTTACCTGGTCTATCAATCTACAAATGTGTAACCAATCCATTCATAAGTAATAGATGCATAGATTTTTATATCCTTGATTGAATCACTTGTCTTCTATGGCTTTTTTCTATTCTTGTTCAAATGACTAGCCTCTCGGAGTTACTTTAGATGCAGTTCAGGAACAGTAATATTGTAATTCAAACATGAGTAAAATCCCCCCAAAAATGACATGAACATTTTACACAAATCTCACCTGGAATCATGTTAGTGAATGTTGTGAAATGCTTGGCATAAAGCAACCAAAATGCCATGGAAAAAAAAGTGCAGAGACACGAAAATATTATCGCAGCATAATCTTAACTTTTGGCACAGATAAAAAGGGAAACTCAAACAAGTTAGCTCTAATGCAGGGGATCTTTGTTTTGATTCAGGTTCAGCAGTTTTCTAACAAATAGTTTGCAATTTGTATAGTTTTAAGCAGAGTGTTTGCATGCTTACTCTGTTTAGATTGCATCAGCACCATCAGTTAGTTACACAATGACCTGCCACAATACAGAGACCAAAATTGTACATCAAGCAGAATTCTGAAGATTCATTTTTAAAAAATTAAAAATATACTTATGAAGTACAAAGAAAGAGCTCCTCAATGGATCAATGTGTAAATGCACCATTTGAGGCAATAATAAGGCAAATAGTTAGGATTGTTCGTTGGTCTGTATTGAGTTTTGATCTATCTGATCTTAGCCATGGAGGCAGCTATGACACCATAATTGGTTGGGTTGGGGTGTGAGGTGGGGAAGAGGGAATCACCATTCAGTAATTGCCTCACTGGTAAGCCAACAAATAAAGAATGGCTATTTAAGGAAAGGTACCTGTGGGTAGCTGACTCCCACATACTGCACCCCATTTTGAGTCACCATCTTCAAACAAAAAGGGAATAAAGCCAGGGAAGAAATGGTAGGTCACCTCGCAATATCAATATACATCTATCAGTTTTATCCAGCACAAGCAACAGAACTACTAAAAGGAAAGAAATAGCTCTTGTTTCTGTTACAATCACTAACTGATTAATATAAACTGAATGTAAGGTTTCAGAAATTCACTCCAATGTGTTTCTTGTTTTCAATCTGTTACCGTTACATGAGTTGGCAATCAACATTCTTTTCATGGTGGTTTTGTTCATGAACAGCAAAGAATCTTGTGTAGGTTTGATTTTTCACTATTTCAAAATTGTTACAGTCTTAAACCAGATTGCATTACGATGCTCTTCCAGTTTACACAGGATGGCGTATTAAATGCTTCAGAAACTTAATTCAATGTAGCCTTTGCCAGGAACATCTGCAAACCGAACTCTTAACATGTAAATTAGTTGGCAATATAATCAACAGCAACACAAGAGAATCAATGATGGATTTGCCAACCTCCCCTGACACGTTCAAACATGCAATCCATTTTTCCACACTGGATACTGAGACTCAAATCAAACATCACAGCATGAGGAAGCACATGAATTACTAAAATCAGTCAATTATCATAACATTTTGAAGTTGAGAAGCATTAATAACATTAGATGAGAGAATGATGGAAGCAACAGAACACATGCCTGATCAATAATAAAATGCACGATAAATAACATTTTCCACTGGGGACAAGCATTGAAGTGGTTTACTCACAGATATTTTAAACTCTCCAAATCTTCAAATGCACCCCTGGGAATTCTTCTAATTTGGTTGTTGTTCAATAGTCTGGAAAATGGTAAAAAAAACAATTGCTGTGTTACAGACCCAAAAGAATAAAATACCCAACTTTGTGTTCATAGACTGTTAAAGCACAGAAACAGGCCACCGTGACCATCAAATATTTTGCCCAAGACACTCAAAATAATAAAAAAAAGCTTGGTTACTCAATCAACAACTGTTTGTGGGACACTGCTGTGTGCAATCGGCTGCCGCACTTTGCCCACAAAATATAGTCAATTCACTTTACAGTTTACACTTCACTGTGAAGCACTTTGAGACATCTCGAAGACATGATATGTTGCCATATCAAATGCAAGGATTATAATCCAATTCCATTTACTTCATCACTCCCCATACCCATAGAAATGTGTCACAGGAGGTGACCATTTGGCCCATTTTAATCATTACACTAAACCCCGGCTAGCCAGACAAACGGGGGTGTGGAGATCTCGTCTGGTAACCCAGAATTTCTGGCGAAGTGCAAGTACAATGCCAGCATTTTTTTAAAAAATGCTTGAATTACATGAGTAGAAAATAGCGGATAAACTAATTTCTGCTTGCGGGATTCAAACATTGAGTCAAAGTTGATATTTCTGTCCACTGTGAAGATTAGCAAGGTTTCAATTCTGGATATCTGGAGTTTGATAAGCCTGGGTCTTACTCCACTCTTTTTCAAGTAGTTAATCTAGTTTGCTTTGCCTCCCATCAATAGCATATTCCACATTCCAATCGCCCTCTGCAAAGATATTTTTCTCTAAACGTCGCTTCAATTCCTTTCATGATTATTTTAAATCCATACCACCTAGATACAGATTTATTTGTATTCTGTGTTTCCCTTCCCCTCCCCATAACAGTTAGTATGCTGCAAGAAACTGCTTAATAATAATCCTTGCATTTGATATAGCGCCTTGTTACATCGTTGAGATGCCTCAAAGTGCTTCACAGAATATACTGTAAAGTGGATTGTCTATGTATTTTGCTCAGTAACTTTTTGGAATGTCAGCATAGACTATATGAGTTCCAAGAACTGACAAGGGGCGTGAACCCACAACCGGAGATGAAAGTGATACCAACTGAGCTAGGCTGACACACATTGTACTAGTATTTCTGAAATACAATTGCACTGCAATAACTGAAGGTTATCTGAACTGTCCCCTTCACTGGTTACTCAAAATTACAGCACAAGTAGTGCTGTGCCAATACAATAAGCAATAATACAATACAAAATTACATTTGCATAGCACCTTTCATGTCCCAAACCCCCGCAGTCAGGGATTTGGTCCCATGCAGGGGGCTGGGGGGGTTGGAGTCAGGGAGGAGGGCAGGGAGGGTAGCTGAAGGTGCAGTCCAAAAGAAGGATCTTGAGGAGGCAAGGGAGGGAGTGAGGCGAAGGGAGTGTGGGATGGAGTTTCAAACAATATAGTGCAACACACACACACGCATGTATCAAAGCCAAGGAATTCTACAACATCATTATCCAATAAAGAAATAATTATGAAAAGCTCTTTCTGCTGGTAGGGGATCAGAGGACAAGCATCAATTCAAGATTGTGACACGGGGAATGAAAGGAAAGATTTAGAAGAATGTCTCCCAGAGGGTAGTCAGAGGATGGAATGAATTTTCTGGACTGGCTATTTAGATTAGAGCAAAGATGATTGGGCATTTGACAAAGAATTAGATAAGCACATGCAGAGAAAGCAAATTAGAGGATATGGGAAAAGAGCAGGGATTTGGGACTAGGATGGTGATTTCTCAGAGGAACAAATGCTGACAAACTAATAGGCCAAATGGTCTCCTACTGTGTCGTACATTTCTGTGGTTCTAAGTAGAACAATATAATCCAGTCATGAGGAGGAACTTCTACTCAATTCCTCCACAGATTGGGTGTCTGGCTAACTGCCCGGCTAAGTTAGTAGCGCTATCAGTTCTGAATCAGAAGATTGTGGGTACAAGGCACATGTTGGGCCTTTTGAACATGTATCCTAGGGCTGACACTTGAACACCTGTCTGACCTCCCCACCCAAAAAAAAAATGGTCATCCACTTCATGGCTGTTTGTGAGACATCACTTTGCACAAACTGGCTACAAATACACAGTAAAACAATTTTTCCTGTAAAGCACTTTGAGACATCTTCTAGATGTGAAAGAAGTTATACATTTTGAACATCAGGCCTCATTGCTGAGGGTGGAAATTGGTCATCCATTTGATGGTCTTCCTCATTCCGTCTTTATGTTTTGAACAACAGAAGAATTTGTGTTATAAAAGTATGGTGAAAAGCTATGTATAAAATCTCATCACTGCAACTATTTGGTTGGAATAATTTGACAGTGTGAGTGATTTGAAATGAATGACCTGCTAACTATTAATATACAGCAGCTGAAGAAGCTTGATTAGACTTCCAGATAACACAGCTGCTGTTGTGTTTATTCACTGTCCAATACTTGTGGGACTGCACAAGAGCTGGGAAATTAAAATTACCCTTCTTTGCCAGATATTCCACAAAATATGCAATCACACCACTTGCATAGTACATCATGTGAAGTGCTTTGAGAACTTCTCCTAAAGCTAAAAGTGCTACACCAAATGCAAGGATAAACTGCAACCCCAAGTCTTCAATTGTACAACTGATTATGTACTGAACGACACTGGTAAGTACATTTTCCAACAGCATATTTGCATACAGTAATAATGTCTTACAAAAAGCCAATGAATGAACAAACTTTGTTTTAAAAAAAATCTGCGGGAATATTAGGCAGAACACTCGGAGAAACTCCCTTCTCATTTTGAATAGTGTCATAAGGATCTTTAGCGTCCACCGATAAGGCAGTTGGCACATCAGTTTAACATTTCATCAAAAACTACAACAACTTGCATTGATTATGTCGCCCTTCACCTGGGTAAACATCTCAGAACATGTAACAGCAACGTAGTTGAGCCGGAGGGGTGATTGGAAACAAGATCAAAGTGGAAAGTCTTCAAGTGTGATCCGAAGACAAAGAGTGGGTGAGGCATAGAAACTGTGGCAGGGAGTTGCAGAGGGTTGGAAAATAGTAGCTGAAAACATGGCACCTCTGACAATGCAACACTATCCAGTATATACTGGATTATAATAAATGGGTATCTTAAAATAAAAAACAAGCATTAACAAAATATGCCATTTCTAATAAATAATACACTGATGTTGCTTCTGTTTTTGTAATCTTCATAGAATTTGTATTGCATTTAGATTATTGCGTAAAGTTTGAGCAGAGAGCCCAGCAGCGTGAGGAGGGGACTGAGTGAGGTAGAACAGAGCGAGAATTCTGTTAATGAATTTGGTGAGAGTGAGAATTCTTCAGCAAGAGAGATATCTGAGAGAAAGAGAGAACTCTTTCATTCAACAGAAGGGTGGGAAATCTATCTTGAGGTACAGGCAACCTTATATGTAAGCAGCAAACAAGTCAATTAGCAGTTAATCATTGGCAAGGCATTGGGAATTAATAAAATTGCTGACCAGTTGAAACTGGGTGCTTTTGTTTTAGTCCAATATAAAGGGGAAGACTTGGGAGAGCCCAGCAGTGTGAGGAGGGAACAGAATGAGGATTCTGTTAAGGAATTTGGTGCATCGGGGGGAAAGAGGTGGATAATTATAATATAAGTTATATTAAAATAATATAAAACATGTCTGGGAATACGGCAGGGCAGCTGAGAGTGGTTGTATGCACAATGTGTGTCATGTGGGAACTTCAGGATACTGTGTGCCCTGGACAAACACATGCGTAGGAAGTGCCTCTGGCTGCTTGAGTTCAAGGAGAGCCTGGTGTCACTACATAGCATACAGGGAGTCTGAAGAGTTCATGGATTGAATGTTTCAGGAAGTGGTCACCGCACAGCCACAGAGGATTCAGAAGGAGATTGAGTGGGTGACCACCCGGCATGGTAGGAAGATGGTATGGGCAGTGCAAAAATCACCTGAGAGTGTGGCACTCACAAACCAGTTCTCTGTACTGAATACTGGTCAGGGTGATGACACCTCTGGGAGGGAAGTCAAAAGCAAATGGATGCACAGGGGACACAGGCAAGAGTATCAATGCAATTGTCATTGGGGACACAATGGTGAAAGGAGTAGACAGGTGTTTCTGCAACCAAAGACGTGACTCTTGCATGGTATGTTGCCTCCCTGGCGCCGGGGTTGAAGATATCACGGAGTGGGTGCAAAACGTTCTACAGGGGAAAGGGGAACATCCAGAAGTTGTGGTCCATGTTGGGATCCATGATGTAGGGGGAAAAAAAGGGCTGAGATCCTACAGGGAAAGTGTCAGAAGTTAGGGAAAAACCTAAAGAGTGGGATCTCAAAGGAATGATCTCTGGATTACACCCAGTGCCTCGTGCAAGTGAGTATCAAAACAGCAGTATGAAACACATGAATGCATGGCTTGAGAAATGGTGCAGAAAAGAGGGCTTTAAGTTCCTGAATCATTGGGACCAGTTCTGTGCATGCAACTAGTAATAATAATAATAATCCTTGCATTTGATATAGTGCTTTTTACGTCTTCTATACGTCTCAAAGCGCTTCACAGAATATACTGTAAAGTGAATTGACTGTATATTTGTGAGCAAACACGGCAGCCAATTGCGCACAGCAGTGTCCCACAAACAGTCGTAGATTGAAAATGACCAGTTTATTATTGTTTTGTTTTTTGGAGGGATTATTATTAGGCGTGTGGAGTAAGGAAACTTGCCCAAGGTTTCGCCCTGCCTGGAATTGAACTCAGGTCTCTCGCTTGCAAAGCGAGTGCTCTAACCACTGAGCTACAGGACTCCATAGTCTCAGCTGCCCTGCCATGTTCCCAGACATGTTTTACATTATTTTAATATAACTTATATTATATAATCATTGGGACCTGTACAAGGTGGATGGGTCACACCTGAATAGGGCTGGGACAAATGTCCTCACAGGGAGGTTAACTAGTCCTGTGGGGAAAGATTTAAACTAATTTCGAGGGGGGAAGGGAATCAGGATGTA